TTCCAATAAGTCTTCCTACCAATATGACCATTTTGCGAAAACAAGGTCAAACAACCTCTATAAAACGAAAGGAGACTGCGACCTCACAAAAGGCCACACCATCTTGGTCTTCATACCTTTTAAAGAATATCAAGTTCTTACTACCACTGCAAGATTTTTCTGATATCATTCGCAAATATTCTTCATAAAATACTAAAGGATGGCGCATAAGTTGATCGCTATGTAAGATAAATGCTATAATTATGTATTAGGATTGTATAGATTAAGTAACCAAAAATATATGCATGAGACAAATATTTTACCTTAATAACAATAAAATAAAACTGATGCATCGCAGAAATGTCATGTCAACTTTAAGGAACAATAGGAGATGAATCCATGTTTAACACTACTCGAATATATTAGAGTTTATCGAGAGTAAATATTGTTTCGCCTTCGTGACAGGGTTTAATGATGACGCCTTTTAAGATATTAAGCAACATGTTTGATCAAGAACTATCAGCATGTCCATGTGTAGGATACTTGTGGATTTACACGTAACATACAGAATTGTGGTTGGATATTTATTCGCATAGAGCCGTTATCATAAATATTATCAATAATTAATTTTTCACTTAGACGAAGCAGAATCTAATTGAGGTCTTCTATTGCAATAATGGAGAGGTCATGAAGGTCAACTATGTTGTGTAACTTAATATAATATAATAGTAGAGTCAAACTACTTATATCTAAGTCTCGGCAGCACATCTTTGAAGAATTAGGACATGTTATTGATTCAATAGGCTTTAGAGGATAATATGATTTGCTTTGTATGAAAGAGTAAAACTAATTAGAAATCACTTATTCCTTTAATTCATCTTGATTGCCCATTCTATCTTTGTTTATACTACGTCGGAGGACAAATTGCTCTGTTTCGCTTTAATACATGGAATCTATTCGCATTAATGAATAAACAACAACCGCTTTTATACGTACTGCTCATTTTCGTTATCTTTTCAGGCATGCTTTGGCACCCACCTGACTTAAAAATATATGTTTGTCTACTACTCCAGTTTATTCTTTGTCTTATAATTAGGTTTTTCGATATTATTAGTAGATCTGATGTATGAACTGTATTCTCTCTATTTCGTTTAAGTTGATGAATATTTATCTGTGTTTCGAGTTATTGCGTGAGTCTCTTCACATTTATTGATGAGCTAAAACCTTTGTCATATTTCATGCTCATTTTCAGTAGCTTTTCAGACATTCGTTGGCACTCACCTGACTAAGAAATGTAAGCTTATCTGCTAATCTAGTTATTGTTAAATGGTTGAGGCTTGAGATCATGACAAGAATGCTTGAGGACAAAAGATTTCAACTATATTTATCTTTTAGATCCCCATTTTTGCCATTACTTTATGACAATGTTCGAATATGTTGCTAGCTGATTTTCAGCTCTTTGCAAGCCCGATATTCTCTAGGCCGGACTGATATCCATCTTCTTAGCAAAATAATTTTTACAATTTTTTCAGTTTATTGCAATCATTGATTGGTCAAGCAATCGGTTGTGTATTCATTGACATGTTCACACCGGAAATAGCTCATACTATCGTCCCTATCTGACCCCATCTTGCAACTGTCAAAGTAAAGTCGAACTTATATGCTTGGCAAGCTTTAGATTTCAACAATCTCACCTTGAAAAATAAATTATATATTTACTTTCGGTAAAAAAACTTTAAACTTACGTTACTTGATGGATCGAGAACTTCCCAAAGGCCTTTACGACTCTTAGCTGGTTAGATGCTGACATGATAAAACCAAGACGAAGACCTCCTTGAGTGTCTTGTGATAAAAAAACGTACTAAATTTAGCATGTCTTTTGCGCTATAGTTATTTGTTCGCCGAACTGAAGACCAGGATTTTGTTGCCTTGACATTAATCGCAGTCTCCCTAAGCTACATGACATGAGTTTAACAAAGTTTTTGCAATTTCGTCGCAACGATATTGAGACCACGTAGAACGTATCTATTCCTACCTCCTTTGGCATAACATTGGTGATGATTTTCAGCATCAGGCCTTTGACTTGGTACATTCTTAGATGTTTCGTTATTATTATTGTCTATATCACCACCTAAAAGCACCATCATTATCACAGGGTTTCAACGTTTCACTTTATGAGTTTTAACTTTGTGCTAAGTATGGCGCCTCTTACTGACAATGCCGACTATGATGCAGAACAAACATTTGGAAATATACGAAGTCAATGGTCCGATGCTTGAAATTATCCTTTATATTATGGTAAAGGACGTAAAACTAAGTATGTTCAATAAGGACTCCGCGTCACCTCGACCAAGTTGCGAAAACTATGTCAAAACAAACATATCTGTAGAATACATCTTTCTGAATGAAAATTGAATATGAAATGCTACTTATCCTTCATATGCCAATCATAGACTAAGATAGTGTTTGGCTGTATAACACATCCTTTATTATGATGGATTTTTATAAAATGGTTTGC